GTTGTACTCGGAAAACAAGGATCATTGATGTTGTCTACAATGCATCCAATAACGAGCTGGTCCGCACCAAGACCCTGGTGAAGAACTGCATCGTGCTTATCGACAGCACACCATACCGACAGTGGTATGAGTCTCACTATGCGCTGCCCCTGGGCCGCAAGAAGGGGGCCAAGCTGGTGAGTGTTAGTTTCCTGTAGGGGTCTGAGGGGGGTGTGCTGCCTTCTTGTGATGAAAATACTGTCCAGTTCTGCTACTGAAGGAAAGAGATGAATACCTGAGTTCTGAAGAAGGCGAGCATCAGGAAATTGGGGTTCCAGAAGGCTTGGGGGCTTTGCTCATGACAGATCCATGTGTATTTTCTTTACTCAGACTCCCGAAGAGGAAGAAATACTAAACAAAAAACGATCAAAGAAAATCCAAAAGAAATATGATGAAAGGAAAAAGAACGCTAAAATCAGCAGTCTTCTGGAGGAGCAGTTCCAGCAGGGCAAGCTTCTTGGTGAGATTGCTGTGGTGTTGGGAAGCAGGAGTTGGTGGTGTGCCGTTTTACCCTTGCCTGGTTCATTGGGCTGTCAGAGGTTTGAACACAGCACACAAAGCATGAGCGGGGATAGTTGTTTGCTGTAAGGGTGAAGAGTGAAATCATGAACACAACGGGCGCTGAGTGGTAGTTGGAGGAAGTGGATGCCCTGGCTGATGGCTGTCTCAGTGATGAGAACTTTGTCCAGTTCTGCTGCTGACCTCTAAGTGAGGATAAAGTGTGTCTGAGGAGACAGCTGGCTTCACGCCTGCCCTCGGGGATTGGACCAACTTGGACTTGTAGGGGGCCTCTTGTCCTCTTCCTAAGGAGTACCTGTTCTCTTACAGCCTGCATCGCCTCGAGACCAGGCCAGTGTGGCCGGGCAGACGGCTACGTGCTAGAAGGCAAGGAGCTGGAGTTCTATCTGAGGAAGATCAAAGCCCGGAAAGGCAAATAAAGCATCATTCATAGCTCATGTAATAAAGGTGTTTATTGTTCTATATTCATATTGTCGGAATGTTTGGCTAGTCATGTTTCCCTGCTCTGAGCAATGCTGAAGAAAAGTTCTCATCTTCACTGTCCACTGTCTACCTGTGCAAGCATGCTGTCGGGGGCCCCATGGCTAGAGCAGTACCTAGAGTAATGCCGGTATTCCTGGGTCTCGGGGAACCTGGAGCGTGTTGGTGTAGAAGAGAATTGGGAGCTCTTCGGTACTGGGTTCTCTAACAATAATGGGGTGCTATCGAAATCATGCTTGTATTGTCTGGCTTTCCTTTGTAGACTTGGGTTTTAAGGGTTCCATTAAATTTGTGTATGTGTGCTAGGCATTAGCCTTCATGAGTATTAAGCACATGGCTGTACCTCAGGCTGTGCTTCCAGCCAGGTAAGGTGGTTCATGGGAAGTATGGGAACCCGGACATTGTATTGAGGCTCTTGACATCATACAAGTTACAAGAGAAGATGTCTTCACCACAGGTTAATAGTTTGGGGGGGTTTTGAGGCACTCGCACTCTGTAGCCTTGGCTGGCCTGGAGCTTCCAGCCCAGGCTGGTTGCAGCTCACAGATCCATTGTCATTTGCTTCCTGGGTACTGGATTAAAGGTGTGCAGCACCAGGCCTGGCGAAGGTTAGTGTTTGGGGGTTTCCCAGAGAAGAGAAGTCTAGAGAAAAAAGCGGGGCTCTACCCAGAGTCATATCCCTTAACCCTAGGTGGCTGTCTGTCCGGTGCTGAGATTGCAGGTACTTGCTCTGCCTGGCTTTTTTTAAGGATTGATTAAGTGTCCAGTGTTCTGCCTGCATGTATCCCTGCAGACCAGAGGAGGGCACCAGATCTCATGGGGTGGTCGTGAGCCACCATGTGCTTGCTGGGAATTGAACCTCTAGAAGAGCAGTCAGTGCTCTCAACTGCTGAGCCATTCACCCCTATAGCTAGAGTTTTCCTGCTTGGCCACAGTCAGGACAAATCTCTGTCACCAGCCAGTCCCACAGCCGCTCAGACCCAACCAAGTAAACACAGAGACTTATATTGTTTATAAAATAACTGTATGGCTGTGGCAGGCTTCTTGCTAACTGTTCTTATATCTTAAATTAATCCATTTCCATAAATCTATACCTTGGCTTGTGGCTTACCGGCGTCTTCACATGCTGCTTGTCCTGTCGGTGGCTAGCAGTGTCTCCCTCTGCCTTCCTGTTCCCTCAATTCCCTTCTCTGTTAGTCCCACCTATACTTCCTGCCTGGCTACTGGCCAATCAGAGCAACACATTTGATATACAGACCATCCCACAGCACACCCCTCTGTGCCTGGCTTTTAAATGGATACTTGGGGATCCAGACTTAAGTCTTATTGCTTGTAAAGCAAACAATTTGTCTGATACCCCAAGGATCAAGTGCTTCATTTGGTTTGGTTTTCCAAGACAGGGTTTCTCTGTGTAACAGCTCTGGCTGTCCTGGAGCTCTCTGTAGACAAGGATGGCCTAGAAGTGCTGGGATTAAAGGCATACGCCGACCTGCAGGCCTGCATGAGCTCAAGTTTTTGTTTTGAGGGGTCAAGTTCTAAAACAAGGTCTATTTGGTCCTGGCTCTCCTGGAACTCAGAGATAACCAGCCTGTGCCTCCTGAGTTCTGAGATTAAAGGTATGTGCTGCCACCCCATCAAATTTAGGAGTTCATTGAGAGCTTGCTTACAATTCCAGAGGGTTACTCTGGCCATTTTGGTGGGGAGCATTAGAGCAGGTGGGTACACTGTAGCAGTAGCTGAATTTTCATCTATCTGAAATGAGAAAGTAACTGGGAATAGTATGGGTTTTTAAAATGTCAAAGCTTGTTTTTGAGATGAAGACTTACTATGTATGTACCCCTGTCTCTTCAAAACCTTATGTAGACTATTGTTGGCTTTTTTTTTTTAATTACTATTTTTGTGGGAGGAAGCCAACACCTAGCTTCCCCAAAAAATCCCACATGGAAGCTTCTTAATTATAAGTGCCCAGACTTATTGGCACATGCCTTTTTCTTCCCCTTCCCTCTGTATGGCACACACCTTTAATCCCAACACTTGAGAGGGAAAGGCCAGCCTGGTCTACAGAG